AACTTTATATTAATATGCTGCTATAGTGCAGCAAACTTATAAGTTATAACTAATAAATAAATACATAAATACCATATCATCAAAATTGATATTACTTAGTTTACAAGCATTCAATGTAAAGGGTGATTTTGTCCATAAAATGTATTGAGGGTATAAAGTGTTCGTCAGCATATAATATTACATATATAATATAAAAAATGTTATTATTAATGTAAAAAAAACATATTTTTCTTTCCAGTGTCGACTGATATTTTTTACATTTTATACACACAATAGAAACTAAACTGAATTTTGTTTTTTGCACTTTGAAATGGGTATCAGGTATTCAGGTCCCTAAATACTTATTTTCAGTGGGTGTCCCTAAAATATGTACTTATTAGTTATGTGGAATCTAGTGAATGCAGATTTGTCTGTACATAATATTGAACATTGTCGAGTGAAATTCATGGATGATGTAAATTACAAGAATATCATGATAATTTTATGTGTTTAAATGTTGAGTATTTAGTAACCATAAATGCATAATAATGATCATAATAGACGATCATTTTATAAATTATTATGATTTATAACGATAAGGCTCGTAAACAGTACAATTCCATTACAATAATAGGGTAATCGTGATTTAGTTGGACTAACACGATCAATATACAGTAAATTTAAACCTCAGTGTTCTAGAACTTTTTTTCAATTAACTGTTAGACCAAATAGTTAATAGCCCGCTATATCAGTGGCCAACGCAGTGGAAGGGTTCTATAGGGTTCTAATCACCTCTGGAATTTCTTCCTTCTAAAAAAATCTTATATACCACAATAAGCAATACACAGTGTAGATTAATTTTTGGTAATTTTTAATAGATTTAAAACAAATTGTTTTTTTTTTAAAGCTTCAATTTTTTTCCACTAGTTAATAACATTTTTAAACATCTAACATAATTTTCATATTATGTACTTATCATCGATTATAATCACATGTATTCTAGCTTGTAGACTGCCAGGTTAAGTGCTTTAAACAGAAATTAAATACCAAATTTGATACTAATTTTATAATTTGTTTTGACCAATTTATAGAAACTGTTTAGCAAAAAATTATGGAGATGGAGAACTGCGATTAATATGAGGTAAAACCTTAACCAAACTAAAATCCTGCATATGATATTTGCTATAATTTGAACTACGCAACGTCGATGTATTTTGAAACAGTAACGATCAACTCTCGCAGGTTTTAAATCGTTGAAAACTGTAATAGAATCAATATAGTGTTGTAAAGCGTAATACATATTTGGAGACAGTGCAAATATTAAARTATATATACAAATTATGAAAATAATACTCTCGCCTGTTTGATTAATTTACAATATGTCTATCGCTATATCATAAGTACTTATATATTATAGCCCATAGGTATACACACACAAGTCATCACTTTAGTTAGTACGCATACAAGTATATGTTCTTTTGCTTTTTTAAAGTTCTCAAGATTTAAGTTTTATTAAATAACATTGGGCGTGTTTTATATAAGGTGATATATATATTTATTTATTTTTATTCTATTAATTCAAACGGGATGAACCCAACAAGAATTTGTATAGTTATTTCATTAGACTTAAATCTATTTAAATGGTAGACAATAGAAGTATATATACAGGGTGATTTTTTTTTATCAATGAACACTCATTATTTAAAAAGTATTGACTTTTTTCAAAATATTTTTTTACATAGTTTCAAGTTGTAAAAAAACCAACGTTTTTAT